CCAACCATCTCGCCCTCTGTCATCCCCTTCTCCTCTTGCCTTCACATTTTCCCAACATCAGGGTCTTTTCCAGGGAGTCTTCTCTTCTCATAAGATGGCCAAAGTATTGGAGCCTCAGCTTTCGAATTTGTCCTTCCAGTGAACACTCAGGCTGATGTCCTTCAGAACGGAGGGCATAACATAGCTAAAAGCAAAAGGGCTTGGTAAGAAAAATATTTTTCTCTGTGTTAATAACATGCTTAGAGCTAAGCAATGCTTTTGATTTTGTATATTTTTACTTTTACATTTAAATGCTTTTTCATGCCTGTCACTGAAAACTATAGTGGTCTTAATTGACTAGATAGGCGGGATATAAATAAAATAAATAATAATAATAATAATATAAGGGTTTTAGCTTTTTATGATTTTATTTTTAAGAACTTTGAGGTGTTATAGAGATGTATTCTCTGCCTTTATAGGCCATGAGCTCCTGTGTTTTAATAATTTTGTTTTTTGATGCATACACAGCTTGAATTATGCCTGTAACCTAAGTTTCAGTAATTTTTTACAAGTTGCAAGGATATATTTTAAGTAAACCTACAGTATTTTAAGATTACCATTTTATATGTCTGTATGACTTTTAGATTTAAACAAATGTGCCTATAGTTTATTCCTCATAACTTGATAACTTATATTTTCAAGACTGTCTTTGATAAATTTTGGATTTGCTATTTTCAAGCATGGAACCTAGAAATGATGTAAATAAATATAACTTGCATAGAATTAACAAGTTATGGAGTGGTCTAGAATTATTGCAACAATGAAGACACTTATGATACCCAGAGGAGTTTTAGAAACAGCTTGTAACTGATTATTTGGTTTCATTCTAGTATTAACCCTTTACTGGGATGTCAATTATGACAAATCATAGAATCTGTTCTCTTCACTGGGAGGTCTGTAAAACTTCGTAGGACTCCTGGGGGAATCTGACAACTTAAACTATATCTGATAAAGAGACCTTTATCAGCTGAAGGCCTCAGTCCTATATACATTTTCCATAAGTGAATGACTCCTCCCTCTGAGAAAACATGGCTAAGATTGTGCCTAGAAAGATGAGCAATGCAAGTGTATTGTGGGAAACACAGGCCTAAACCCAATTTTAATCTTAGCTAAACCCACTAAGATCAATGGGTCTTTTACAACACTAATGAAAATCTCATTGACTGCAATGGGAGTGCATTATTTGAGAACAGAACTAGACTTGGAAGGGATCTCAACCATCATCTAGTCCAACTTCAATATCTTGGCTTTATTATACATTAAGTGCCATTTGAAATGACATTTTTTACCAAGTGGGAAAAGAATGATGGAAATGATCATCTCAGCAGAGTTAAAGGACCACAGTGCACAGTGCAGAGTTTAGAAATAAATCATTAGGTATTAATTTATTGCCCTTCATTTATGACAACTTTCAACAAGCAATGTAAAATTCATTACTTTAATCATAAAATGCCAAGAATGTTAATTTTTTAATGATAATTAACTTTTCAAGTTATTTTATGTCACTACCTTTTATGGATAATTGGGGCAGCTGACCACTTCTTGCTATTTTTTGTGATCATAAATGATATTTTATCTAACAGTTTAATGACTTCATTTTAACAGAGCTTATTTAGCAATTTTATAAATTTCTCTTCATATTCTAATTTTGACCAGTTTTTTCTTTAATGATTCATCATTAACACATCTGTACTAGTATTACCTTCCAAGCTGTACTATTCTACTTTCAAGTTAATGCAGAAAACTAATCTTCACAGTTGATGTATTTGTGTTCCTGAATTTGCCACATTGGGTTTTGTGATTTTTACCTCCTCTTCACAACTTATCAATTAATTCACATTTTTCATAGATGCCTATTTCCATCACTTTTAAAGTATCCAAAGAACTATGCAACAGTAAAGAGATTCAATCTAAGTACTAAAGTAATTTATTATATGTCTATATAATAAAAATACAGTTAGAAAAGCTCTCTTTTTATATATGAAAAGCATTACTATATTTCTATTATGAAGTGTTTAATGCAGATGGATGCAAAGATAATATTGTAAGAACAGTGAGATTTAAAGGTAGTTTAGTTCAAATAGAAATCAGCGACAACTGAAGAGGCCTCTTACCGATTAGTATATTTGACACTGCTAACATATATTGACTATCATAAATCGAGATTCCTCATATATTCCTTTAATTTATGCAATAAATCTTTTCTGATTTATCATTTTTCATAGCTATGTTAACCACTGTATTTACATTTTGATTGAAATGTAAATACAGCCTTTGCATGCCTTTATACAGTATGTTGTTTTCTGTCATTTTCTGTTACGATGACAACTCACCTTTTAAACCAGATGAAGATAAAACTGGAGAGGACACAGAAAGAAATCCTTGCAGTATTTTACAATTGTTTTTAGAGGTTTGTTATTTTGTTTAAAAGTGATTACTATACGGTATGTACCTATGAATATATAGTTTGCCCCACGCTTTTACAGGCAAGACTGCCCCTCTCTAGCAGGTGGGACAGGACAAGACTGATAGCTGGGGAGTGTCTTACTCATGCCTGTTATGCAAATGGCAAAGCTGGACTCACACAGATGACTGCGGCCATACCATGTCCTTTCAAAGCATTACATCTGTACTGAAGCTATACAAAGTTAGAAAGCTTCTAACTACATTAACCAGGCTAAGGAAGATACAAGGAAAATAAATCTCTTGGCAGCAAGTGCACAAGAAGTGGCAATGTATGTTAGAAGAGAAACAAAATCATAGGAGCTGTTTATTTTCCTTTCCAAACAGTTGCCTCACTCCCACAAATACTGCTTTTTCAAGAAGTTCAGATGCAATGCATCAAAGAAGCCGGTTGAGGAAAACAATGAAAGACCTCACTATGCACATGCAACCTGCATTTGTTTCTAAAAAGAGCACCACCCTGCATCAGGCCACAGACTTCTTATATGTGCCTGCTTGAAAATCTACCTGTTCCAAGTACACCAGAGTGGCTATATATCCACTAAAACTAAAATCAGCACAGCAGTGGGTTGGGCCCACTGAACCCAGTGGACCTTCTTCAGATTAAACATGCATGGGCTCAAACTGTAGGTCTGACAGATTACAAAGAGAAAGTAAACACTCAGACCTTTCTTACTGAAAGTGATACGGATTATCCACGGGTGGATCATGGTTTTCGTACTTTTTCAGACTTATTCACAAAAGCTTACACTAAAAAATATAAAAGTTAGCCTTTAAGGTGCCACCACATTCTTGTCATTTTTTACTTTTTATTTCTATTTTGTTTTTACCTATAATGCTTGCACAGATTAACACAGCTACCCCTTCTACAACTACATACTTGTTCTTGTTCTGGAATACTTTCCACATAAAAAATGGGGAAAGTGAAAGTAATTTTCTAAAGATTTTCTCTTTTTAATTTTAGGCAGGAATTACTTAGGTATTGACATAATTTTTTAATTTTAATTTTATAATTTGCCTTCTGATGATTCCTGTTTGATGGTATTGTTCCTCTCGCTAATGTTTGGTCCTAGATAGTTCCACTTTCTGTAAAGGCTTCTTTCTGTTTCCTAGATTACAGTAGGCAGTCAGTATTCATATACTGAACTTAAAAATACCAATCAGATTTAATGAACATGAATGAAATCAACACAGAGTGTGATCATCATTATCTGAGAAGGAGCTACCAGCCGTTGCTCTCAAAACAACTGTGGAGAACTTGTCAGAGATGTGGGAAAGTTAGTATATCTTTATAAAAGTACTGCTTTATTGCAAGAAAAAATTCAGAAGCCAAGAGCCATACGGCTATGTGGAAGAAACAAAATATTCTTCCTATTTGCAGTATAAACTAGGAATATCACGTAAAAAACCATCAGCCTAGACACACCTCAAAATCCATGTCTCTGTTGCTTCACATAACCAACCCCAGCCTGAAATATGTTTCACCACTAAGAACCAAAGCTAAATTTCTGTGTTCTTCTAAGAAAAAAATCTGTGTATTTGTGAAGACTAAAAAATGTGTTGTACTGTTCATCAAGATTTACAGGTAGAATTGGTTTGTGAAAGGGAAAGAGTAAAACATAGATCTGTACAAATAAAGTTGTTCTCCAAGACCCATATATCTTTATACTAGTTGTGTGTTTTTAGGCTTGACATGAACATGATAAAAGCATCTGCAAAAATCTATGTGAATAGTTTTTACAAAATGCATATTAAACAACATAAGAATTTAAGCTACTTCCGCATTGTCCAAAACACACACACACACACACACCAATATTTTCCCTGGCAATTAAGGTTTTTCTTCCTTATAATACAAGGTGACTACTAAATTAACTTACTACAAACAGGCACATATCTATCAAGCATGCTAATGTATACAGTATCTTCACACCAAAACAGCTACTCTGTTTTTGATATTCTCTCTAAACAAACATAATAAAGAGAAATCTTAACAGGTCCTGATGATACCTTATTGCAAAATATTTTTTAAATTATCAGAGGGCCTTTGTTACTGCTGCAAAAACCCAGCTTGTTGTGTGGCACATTTCCCCCCTGCTCTTATTCTAATGATACACATTCAATTACTACAGAAAAGAAAAGAGTCAAATCAGAAACATCTGTAGTTTGCCATATAATTACTGATTCTTCCCCATGGAGACTGACCTTTGTAACACCGATACAAGACCTGAAAGGCTAAAATAACAGAGGATATTCACAAGGTTTAAAATGTGTAACATGATTACAAGGAATTAAAATAGACACTGTTATTTTCCATCTTGGTTTATGTTAACATAAGCGTGGACTTTATGATCTTGCGTTTAATCTCTGTGCTCAGTATGTAGTAGCTGAATTTACTCACTATTAGGGGGATTCACAAGCTGCTAAAATGCAATGTTTTGATTATATAATAAAGTCAAACCCTGCATTTGAGGCTGTTATGCAGCCATTACTTTTACCTGTAATAGGAATCTTTTCCACCAGGCTTTCTTCCTTGCTCTCATCTTCACACCAGCTTGTGACTTCTGTATCTGAACGCAGACAATAATGAAGCACATTTCAAAGTCACAGTGATCATACCAGTTTGTTTTCTTTTTAAGCCCCATTCCCTTTAATTTTTCATTTTTGTTATCTCTTGTTTATTGATCTAAACTGTCCATTACAGTTCTTTACAAAAGGACCCTACTGTGAACTTCAGTCAAATATGCGGCTACTCTCTGTGTGCAGCTGGCAAAGAAAACAGTAAACTGGCCAAATACCTTGAATAGTTTGGGTCTCCGGCTTTTTAAAGAAAAGACAGCTATAACTTCGCCATCTTGGCCATTAATCCAAAAGCAATATTTGATACACATAAAAACCACTAAACTCACAAAATTAATTTAAATCATAAAGTTTTGTAATGATAAATATCTACCAAGACAACCTAAATAGAGTTGCATATGCTTACTATGTAAAGAAGTCTGTATTCTAATTGCTTGTCTCTTTTGGCCTTTGATGAGAGGACATACTGAGCAAATCACCATCTCCTGCTCCTAAATCAAATTGCTTCCTTTAGCAAAACAAATTCATCTAACAAATCCATTTTTTGAAAATAAATTTCAAAAATCCAACACATGCTTTTCTCGGTATGGGGCGTCTTACTTCTAAGGGTGGGGAAGATCTATCTGTGCTTCCTCTATAACTAACAAGCTACAAATATATACATATATTTTTTCCATCAGTGTTTCTGTAGAGAAATGTATATTACAACCTACAGACATTTTCTCCATATAATATATTTTAATGGGACAACAACACAGGAACTACAGCCTGACAATCCCAGGGGAAATTCTGGAGCAGATTATAAGGTGGTCACTCTCCAAGCACCTTGAAAACAATGCAGTAATAACTAGAGGCCAACACTGATTTGTCAAGAAAAAATCCAGACTATTCTCTCATTTTTTGATCAGGTAACTTCCCTGGCAGACAGTGTGAATGCTGTCAAGGTAATATGTCTTGACTTCAGTAAAGGCTTTGACAAAGTGCTCCATGATATTTTCATGAGCAAGTTTACTAGATACGGGCTGGATAGAACAACTATCAGATGGATACACTGTTGGTTGCATAATCATACTCAGAGAGTGCTTATCAATGGTTCCTTCTCAAACTGAAAGGAGGTAACAAGTGGGGTACTAGGAGGCTCATTCCTGGGCCCAGTGCTGCTCAATAGATGAGGGGGTGCAGGGAACACTTATCAAGTTTGCAGATGACACCAAATTGAGTAGAATAGTTAATACCCTGGAAGCCAGATACAACATTCAAAAAGGTCTTGATAGGCTTAAGCATTGGGTTGAAAAGACAAGATGAAATTTAACAGGAATAAATGCAAAATTCTACACCTAGGAAAAATAAACAAAATGCGCAGTTGCTAGATGGGTTAACACTTATCAAGTTTGCAGATGACACCAAATTGAGTAGAATAGTTAATACCCTGGAAGCCAGATACAACATTCAAAAAGGTCTTGATAGGCTTAAGCATTGGGTTGAAAAGACAAGATGAAATTTAACAGGAATAAATGCAAAATTCTACACCTAGGAAAAATAAACAAAATGCGCAGTTACTAGATGGGTTAGAGCAATGGAGCAGTTAAAGGACTGTTTTGAACAAACGAATTGGGAAGTTTTTGACCATCCTGATCTGGAAGAACATACAGCTGCAGTGTTAGGGTATATGGCACACTGTATTGACACGGTCACAGTGGATAAACGTATCCGGGTTTATCCCAATCAAAAACCTTGGATGACCGGGAAGGTTAGACGCCTGTTGTATGCTAGAAATAAGGCTTTTAAGTCTGGGGATGATCTAGACTACAGTGCAGCAAGAAC